AAGAAGAAGAAGAAGAAGAGAGAGAGAGAGAGAGAGAGAGAGAGAGAGAGAGAGAGAGAGAGAGACTCATTCAATTTGGGAATGTATAGCTTAACCCTTGTGTGAAAGAACCTTGATGAGCAAACTGCGAAATTAACAAGGCAACAAAGACAATGAATATTCATTTCTGATTAATATCAATGCTACATCAAAGATATTGCATATTCTAAATAACTAATGCCATTAAGAAAATTCAGAACTTACCTGTGCATCAGATCCAAGTTGAGTTCCATAAGTCACCTGTGCATCAGAACCGAGCTGAGTTCCAATCATATCATTCTTCCCAGATCCGTCAGCACCCCGGGCAGATCCCTTGGTGTCACCCTGAAAATTTATGACCGTTAATACCACATATGGATAACTAAACAAAGTTAAAAAGTGCAATAGATAATTTGAAGTAAAATGCTGATACATACCTCCAACTGTAACATCATAGCCATTCCATGAAATTGATCAAACACAAAAATCAAGAGTCAGATTGATGCTGATCACTCAGTTATAACTTAAAAATTAAAATAAATACGAATTTCTGATTAGAGACCAAAGAGAGGTCAAATGAACTCATGAAACACAGAAAAACAAGTTGATTACTTTTCCTTTCTTCCTTTACTTTAGCAGGCCAAACAGCGAGTAAGTTCAGTTAAAATAAAGGCTCAAATTTCAGGAGGAAAAAAGGACAAAAAATTGTCCCCTACCTCTCTGTACCTGGCCAAATAGGCCCTGAGTGGAGCAATATAATCTTCAAAACCCAAAGTTGCCATTGCCCAGAGCAAATCATCCCCATTAACGGTTTTCCTTTTCTCTTTTTGACACTTATCACTTGCTCTACACAACATAAAAAATTGCTGTGATCAAATTCAGAGAAAAAAAGAAAAAGAAAAAAAAATTCCAAATATTACAACATTTTAACGCACCATGTAGTACAACTGTAATGATAAATATCATTGATCACATAATACAGATACATTTGAACGTACACAAATATACATGTATAAATACCGAACCATACAATCATATACATGTTCATGTGTGTGTGTGTGGGTGCATCACATAAATGATTAATAATGTATGAAACTATCCAGGGAATTACACAGTATCTAGTCGCTCAAGTTGCTGGCATCAATTTATGTCCCAATGACAAGTCATTTGTGTCAGTAAAAGCATCTCAACAAAATCAAATATAACTAGAGACAAGCAACCATTTTCATCAATTTTCTCCCCTTCTCTTTTCTCTCCCATTTTTATAACCCATGGAACTCCTTGGGCGACAAATCTCCAATTTTATCCAGTAAAACCAAGATCTCTAAATGGTGTTCAAGTTTTCCAATTTGTATCTCAGATTTTAATCAACATAAGTTTCTTCATCGACTAAATTTTAAGGTGAAAACAGCATCAACATTTTTCCACGAGTTTCAAGGAGAAGGCATACGGTTCTGACCTCCAAAGCATCATCAACAAAATCAGCAGAGAATTTCTCCAGTTGTAAGGTTTTTTAATGCTTACCTCAACCGTCAATTTTTAATTCACTTGGTCAAATTCCCCTAGTAAAGCAGTGGATATCCCCCCATAAAAAGTTCCCCTCATCCTTCACTCTCTTGATGTTTGGCAAACATACTATTTGTGGATGTTTCATGACAAATATCACTACCAAAAATATCATTTTCAAATCTAGAGCTAAATTTGCAAAATAAATGTTAGAAAGAAAAGATTCAGAAAGATATGAAAATCAATTTCAGTCAAGATATAACAACTGAATGCTTAAGAAATAAAAACTGCATTAATCGCCAATCTTCAGTTCAATTAAAACATAACAAACTGGGTAATTTTTTAATTGTAAACTTCGTACACACAATGTACTTGAGAAAGCCCAAAATTCCAACTATCTCTAACTTGAGTTGCACAAGTCATTAGCCCAAAATCAACTTACACTACAATGAGTGAGCACTCATACTTAAACTGCATATCCATTATTTTTTTACTCTAGCTTTCACCTATTCAAAGGAGAACGCAAACGTCAAACTACACAATAAAATGAGCAACCAACCAGCCAAGAATCTAGAAATGGACAAGATTAGTTGTTTGCCATTTGCATGGGACTCCCCCAATAAGCTATAAATGCCTCTTCAAATTAAAGGATGAAGCTTGAACAATAATCTTTCGTCAAAGTGAAAAGATGAAATAATAAAAATAAAAAATGTTCATACTATACCATATAGTTGACTCCACAAAATTAGTGAAGGCACTGCAGTAATTCAATGGATAAAGTGACGTGCCGATATGATTGTTCTCGCTATGATATCACACTGGTTGTATGCTCAATAATTAGCGTGTCAATGTCCATTATCTAGCACTAGAGATCTTGTTGAATGGGTAAATACTTTGAGAGTAGATTATGCAGCATAAACAGTTACAATTTTCTAATTTGTAGATTAAGTAATCAAGGTATATTCGCACCTGATCTATGCCACCTCAGGTTGTTATATTGGGTTTGCATTGTTTGCTTTAATTCATAAAATCCCATATTAAAATAAAAAATAAGGTCAAATACTGCGGGCGATCAATACAGTTCATTAAATCTTGCTACAATAACTATAGCTGCGTAGATGAGATGAGTCACCCATTATTGGGGATATGGATGCGAGTATCCAAAAGAATTGGGTCTTAGTCGCACTCTCCTCTATGTAAAGAAAGATTGTTCTTACACATGTGAGGAAGATAGATTTTGATAATTTTGGGCCCCAATTCCACACTTATTTCGTCTCTTTCAGCACTTATTTACCATTCCAAGTCCCATCCTTTCTCTCTCCTTTTCGCATTCACTACTTGTACAAAATTAAAATCATGTAGCATCCGCCCTTTACCAAGCACACTATTGCAGCTTTTTGATATCAGATATATAACTGAAACAAGCTGAAAAGCACCAGTATAACATAGTAGTTAAAACTAGATTATTCATACATATTTAAGGCATGTAAAGCATGGAGACAAGACTCAGAGATTATAACATTTAACTTTTCACAAAAGCTGAACACAAGCACATGGTGACACATCTATCAAAATTATATTTTTTATGTGCTAAATACTCTTTAGCTTTGATTTTTGAATTTTGGATTGAAATCGTTTGAATATGAGTAGTGATTTTTTGTTGTACTATGTATCATTACTGATAATAGAATAAAAATATGCATGTTGTAAAAAAAAAAAAAAAAAAGGTGAGTTCTCTTAAATGTTTTGTCAAGAGACAGAGTAGCACATAACATAAAATGCAGTAAAACTTAAGAAGCAACGCAAGACTATCCCCCAGTCAAATGCCAAGAATTTGCCAATACTCGCCCACACCCTCTTAGAAACAACCCTTTCACCTTCTAACCTTGCAAACAAGAAGCAAAAATATTTGACCAAGTTCGAAAGTAGTATTTAACTATTGCGAACATCAAAAAAGATTTCCTTTAAAAATCTTAAAGAGTATTGGAAAAGGAGTTGTAGCACTTGAAACTAGAGACCTACAAGTTATGTTGAAGGCAGAGACTGAGAGGATTGATCTTCATCATAAACCATATGTAAAAATCAGGAATTATTCAGATGAAAAAATTATAAAAATTCACAGATACAAATGTGAGTGCCAGATATCTATACTTGCATTTTATAAACGATGAAACAAAGTGAAACGGATACAATAGAGACATGATCTACGCACAGAATTAAACTTTAAAGACTGCATTTTATAAGTAACATGTGTAGATCAACAATCATGTGTTGCAGGCTTTGTTTCTAATCATTATTTTCTAAGAAAATCAGAAATAAACTTTGATTTCATGTCAAACTCATAAGCATTAGTGGCACCTACTAAAACTTCAAGGAACTAAATTATAAAAATATAGTATGTAAATCTAGGTGTTCCTTTAAGTACGAGCTACTTAGACCTGCAAATGCATTTCATTGACATTAGACTAGACTAGACTAGAAAAATGTTGCAACTAAATCTTTAAAGATTATGCCTCCCATAACCAGTAGCATAATGAATATAGAAAAAGAATAAAACATTTATTACATTATGTACTTTAAGTATAAAATACTCCTACCATTGAATTAGCTACGACATCGACCAAACAATAAACACTAACCTTA